TATTCCCTCATATTTTCTTAGATTCCTATAATAATACATTTGCATAATAGTAATTTTTAAATAATGGCAAATTTTACATAAATTTTTACAAGTATATTTTATTATATTATTATTACAAGTATATATTTTTAAATTAATTGATATTCGTGAAATAATCGGCATTAAAACCAAACTTATATGCGTATGAAACTTTGGTAAAATTAATATTCACAACAATAATTTTAATATTAATTTCATTTCTTGGTTAAAATGATGCTATTATTGTTTCGCAATAAGTGTTTTCGAGATTATTAATTCCAAATTTGAATCTAAAAATCACAATTTTTCTCTATATGATTCTTTTACATAATATGTTAAATATGTTAAAAAAAGTATTTATAGAATTCCAAAAATTTTTTCAAAAAATTCAGAAAATTAAATATTTTTTTAAATATAGTGATCAGAAATAAATTTTTTTTAAATTTTTGATGTTTCTATTTAAAATTTTTATTTTATATAACAGACTATTACTTATAATTCATACTCTCAATTGATTTTATGATATTCATTTTGTAATCATTTGTAATATTTTATAAATTTATACATGTTTTCTATCATATTTATAATAAAATTCCTGATAAAATTGCATTGAATTTCATATTCAAAATATTTCGGATATACTTCATGTTTCATTATTCTATATAAATTAGATTTGCATATAATTTCGTTCAAAATCAAATTAAAAATAACATACTCGTTCAAGTATTAATAACTACAAAAGAGTTTAAAATGATAATTATTTATATAATATAAATACAGCGTTCAGTATCTAAAAATCAGTATCTACTTTAAACAATAATTAATAACTATTATAATACATTAATATCTTTCATATAAAATCACTTATATATTACCATTCAATTCAAACGCATTCTTCTTTATTCGTCTTTTCCAATTTCTTTTTGTTACTCCCATTGAATGAAATAACGATATGAAGTATTCGTAGAATAAAATAGAAATAAAATAAAGTAACGATATAAGTAAGAAAGAAGTTTTCTTGTAAGGTAACTGGAAGATTATTCATTATAACAAATTTTCATTCTCTCACTTGGAACAGAAGGGGAAAAGATTAAAAAAAAAAAATAAAAGAATATAAAAAACGATAGTAAAAATTAATAATAACAAGAAACATGAAAACTATAATTTTATCGAAAATCAATATCTATTATGGAAAATCTCCTTGTAGAATGTATGCATAAAACCGATCGATTGTAATTTACTGAAATTGCTACACATTATACTATTATTATTGTAAAAAAAATAACACTATGAAAATATGAGAGAGAAAAATAATAGCGTAAATAATATATTAAGCCGAGGTATAATCGAATGATTCTTCAAGTTCTATATGAGTTGATATCTGACTAGAAAAATGGACGTATTCGACAAATATTATCATAGTTATCGTACTGTATTGAAAATCGTAGGATTATGGCCGTATGATAACTCAATTTATGTGTGGATTCAGAGATTATTGCTATTGACATTATTTCTTGGCAATGTAATATTTCAGGTGACGAAAATTATAATTTTTCTTTGTATAATTTATTGTATTTTTATTTAAATAGTTTAAATAGGATATTGTCTATTTATTACAACATATTAATGTTCTTTTCCGTAAATTAATAGTATTTATTGTATTATGTTGTATTATATATATGTATTATATACATGAAATAATAATATATTAACATATTAATATTTTATGATTAATATACGGATAATAATATTTTATTATTAATATACGGATAATAATATTTTATGATTAATATACGATATATTAATATACGGATTAATGTGATACGAATGTATAAAAACATATTTCGCACACTGTTTAAAAGTTAATATATTTTAAATCATAGAGTCAAAGTTAATATATGTACATGACATAATTTTTATTATTTTATTATATATTTTATAAAAATTTAATTTTTAAGTAAAAAAAGTGAATATTGTAAGTAGATTTTAGAATTTCTCCATCAACATATATATATCTATCTTTAACAAAAAAAAATATTTTTAACAAAAAAAAAAGGATTAAAAATTAAAATGTCATTTTACATTTTTCACATATTTTCATATGTAAAATAATCTTCTTTTATAAATTCTATCTGATTTAATCAAAGGGCTATTTCACTTTGGAAAATTAAATTTGAAATATTTGTCTAAAAAATTTCCAAATCTAATTTTTTCAAAAGAAAATCTCAAATGACGAAAATTTATTTATTATATTTTTTCGTTCAATCTGTTTATGTATGCTATTTGATTAAATTTTCTATACATATAATATATAAAAGATATATATAAAAGAACATAAATCAATATCTATCAAATTTTTATCTTCATATTTATATTTCTTACTTCTACTTATGATTTTATTTTTGTTTTACTATAACATTATACAAATGATGATAATGATAAGAGCACGATTAAAATATTAGATTATCATTAAAAAAATTATAAATTTTTTAAGCATTATTCATTAATTAATAAATAGATATATATTTTTAGATTGTGTCACTTTTAAGATCTGAAATTACGTTACGAAATTGTATTTTAATATTATCTATAACCTGTCCGCTTATAATAATTTCGTTACGATATATAAGTTTTATAATATTTTTTCCTATGGTAAGTAAGTAAAAATTAAATTATTTTAAACTTTTTAATGAAAAAATATATTTACCTCTTATTTTATTTGGTATAGATAAAATATTTATTTCATCATATGCGTATGGAGGAAAATATAGTACAAGATTCAATAGAAATACGAATACGAAAAAAATGCCTCAATGATTCCTGTCATATGATTGATATTTTTCTCTGTAAGAAATGTGTAATTTCTTTGGCGATATTAATTTACATTATCTTTGCAACATTTAAATATTTACAAATATTTGTATATATTCATTAATAATATTGTATATCTATTATTTTTATCTATTATATAATTATAATATAATTATAATATTTATAATATTTTTATACATTATTTTATAAAGATTATAAACATTTCTAAAGATTTTTTTTTTATAATAAGAAAGATTTTTCAATGAAAATTATATCAATATTCGAGTTTAAATGTCAATTATTCAATGATCTTTCCAAAATTTAGGGATGATTTATGCAACTATTGCATTGTGCAATATATTGTTATTGTATCCTATAATATTGGATTTTATAATGCCTTTGAACGAATCTCGTACACATATCGCTCATTATATTACTATATTTTCTAATAATAGAATCATATATGTTGATACTCTATGCTTGAATTATATGTTTCTTATGATATTTGTAATATTATCTGTAACATGTACGGAATCGATACTTGGACTTTATAGTTATCATATAGGCGTGTTGTTTAAAATTATTAGGTAAGTAAAGATATCATATTCATCTCATAATACTTATTATGTAATAAATATTAATAATTACTGTATTTACAACATTTCTTACAATATGAATTAACATTCATAAGATTATAATTAGCAAGATCGCATAATATTCGTAAATTTAATATTATTTGAAATGTTATATTTTCCTTATTCCTTACATATAATATTAATATAGGATGTATTATACTTTAGATAATATATATTAATATATATAAATTTATATATATTATAATGTATTAATATATAATATATTAATAATATATTAATATATTAAATGTTAATATATATATTCTAGAAATCGACTCAATAAATCTTGATTGGAAACTCTTAAATGATTTTAAGTAATTTTTTTTTGCATAAATTTTTATATCAATTTTATTATTTATTAGATATTAACTAAACATGTGATTGGCCACAATTTTTCGATAATAATTTATTAACAAATGAAAATGAAAATTTTCAGAAGGAAAAAATTGCTTGAAATCTTTCACATATTACCATTTAAGACTTATCACTATTAAAATCATATTGATCAATTTTTGGGATTTCGATATTTTTAACATGTATATACATAAATATAGTTACAAAATTTTTACTTATTTATAAAGATTTAATAACGTATATTTAAAAATTGTTTAAAATGTCCTTCACTATTTTCTTCACGATTTCGAGAAATTCAAAAACATCTTCAAAAATTTTTGTTATATATTATAAAAAAGTAAATTAGTTCATTTAACTTTTCAAAAAAAACTCATTACTATAACTTTTAAAAAAATTATTGTATTTTAAAGAATGCATTAATTTTTTCGACAAAGCGTAGAATATGAACAAAATAAATTTTAATAATATATTATAAAATTCTTACTTAAACGATATTTATTTACGAATGTCTCATATTTTTAGCCATCGAATACAAAAGATTATTATATATTTAACTGTAGTCAATCTCTCGTCAAAACAAATGGACTCGAAACTCAGAGAGCTTTATCGCGTGATAGATATTCATAACCAAGCTATCCAGTTGGTAAATTAGA